AAACAGGGCCTGCAGGGACTGAAGGCCCGCAATCCGGCTTTGCGGCCTCCAGATCTCAAGGTCGGCTCGCCCCCGGTGTGGCGAGGCGCTGTCTTGCCGCTGGTGGTCGTGGCGGCAAGGACGGGTGCAGGTCGGGTCGGCGGGTGGCGGTTGTGCTGCGGGTGCCGCCGCTGGTGGTGGCGGCGGCGGCAGGTGGGGGTGGGGGGTGGGGGGGCTAAAGCCGTACCTGGGATCCCGGTCTGTAAGAAAAACACATGAAGGGGACACATTAAAGAGGGCCTTAATGGGGCAGACTGAACAAAGCACTTACCAGTAAAACAGTTACTTCTGTAAGTAGCAGAAGTAGAACACCCCCGGGTTAGAATGGTACAACCCGCCACCCCCGGTGGTGAGTAGGCTAGTCCGCTAGAACCAGCCTACCACATTCTCTCAAGAATACACACTACTGCAAGTATACCTCTTGTCTCCTCTCATCATTACCCATGATCATTACCACCTAACCTTGGGGTGGGGGACAGGGCAAGGAAATGGTTCGTTACACTGGTGGCAGCTTCGGGATCATCTGGACCCGGCCAGGAGATCGGTAAGCCTGTCCCTCACCCCTGAACCAGACTTTGAAATGAGAAGACTTTGTTTTGCAACTTTTCGATGATGCCATGTGCTCCCGCCATGATGCGACCACACTGTGAGTGCAAAGTTTTCGCCGGCGGTAAACCATCAGAGCAGGTCAGACTCTAGAAGGAGAAGAAGTTCAGCTCCAACCAGGGTGCCTACTAAAAACCAGCCCCCAGCTTAACCACTGGCAAGTCTGTAGTCTGCGGACCCCCCCTCCCCCCAAGCCTCAATTCGGCCGTGGACAGCCGAGTCGGAAACCCCGTCATCCAGCCAGAGAGGTGGAGCCACCAGCGCTAAAACACAACACGTGTTCTGATCATGAGTCCCGACCACAAATTGTTTTGCTGAAGGCGTACAACACCTGAACCGAGCTGTGAGCTCTCCCATCAAACTGTTGCGGTAAACATTGACGATCTACTAGTATTCACGCGGAGGACCTGCCTCGCCAGGAATTAACTTTGACAGAGGTTGAAGACGAACCGTCTAGAACTTACACAGATTTTTTTTTAATCTGTGTTTCTTCCCTGTCAAATTCTACCGTTGTATTTCATGTAGATCTGTCAAATGTACAACACATAGAACTGTATTCTCTTCATTATGTTTATGTGATGATATGTGTTATGTGATGATGAACGTTATGCCCTGATATACCTATGTGATATTGTTAAACTTTAGTGTAAGCTTTTAGTGTAAGTCAAACTTTAGATAAGTTACTTGTTTTTGTGATGACATGTTTTAGGGTAAGTTTATTTGCTATTGTGATGACATGCTTTAGTGTAAGTTCAGCTCTACTAGACTCTAGTACAAGTTAAGCTTTATTCAGTAGGATCTATAATTATACTACTGTTTCATTCGTTAACTGATACGGACCGTTCCCCGTTTCTATTGTTGCATTTTGTTATGTTGAACTATATACATTATAAGCTGTTTACTTAAGGAGAAGTTTTCTTCACGTAAGGGGGGAAGAGTGTAAGTAGCAGAAGTAGAACACCCCTGGGTTAGAATGGTGCAACCCGCCACCCCCGGTGGTGAGTAGGCTAGTCCGCTAGAACCAGTCTACCACATGTTCTCTGAAGAATACACACTACTGCAAGACTGAAGTACACCTCTAGTCTCCTCTCATCATTACCTAACCTCATTACCGGAAACTTCAACGTCAACAATCTAAAGCAAGTAGGTTTTCGTCCGGTGGCCATTTTATTTCATTTTGAAAGTAGCCAGTTTTCAAGATTACGCTACGAAATTTCAGGGAGTTTCGTGGCGTACTTTTTCTGCTACATGTATTATTTCTTCTTCTTCTTCTTCTTCTTGCGTACTCTCTAACCACCCCTACTGGGGTATCACTGAGAGGGGGGGGGGTGCGACGGACTATGGCTGCGCGGCCAGAAGCCCGGCCTTGAAGGCCTCCACTGTCTGGGCTTTTACAAGCTGGCCCGGTAACTTGTTCCACTCATTTATCGTTCTTGGAAAAAAAGAAAATCTAAAACAGTCTGTTTTGGCAGGTATTGCTTGATACTTATATTCATGACTTCCTCTGGTACGCCTATGGGCAGGTTTGAGGTATTGTTCCATTTGAATATTAATATGTCCATGAGCAATTTTATATAAAGATATCAAGCGAGCGGTATTATTTACACTATTGTTTACCAATCTGAGAAATGGCTTCGATAGTTTCAGATGGTAACGAATGTTTACGAGACGGAAGTTAGTGTTTCTTTCTTCAAGAAGCACTCGAGTCTGGTATATCCCGGTTTTAGTGACACTCTTCCAAGATGAAACTGTGTAGCGAACAATACTGAAAATATGATCGGGCTCACCGTTGTTATTGTTCCTCGCCATTTTCTCCAAAACTTCGAATTCAAAGCAATGAGATTACGATGAGAGCAGAGTGCACGTGTACTACCCTCAGCTAGAATAGCATGACTGAATGAGCTCGTCAGGCCCGTGCGCATATATATACGCTCTGTCGCGACGTACGGCGAGACGTGCGTCTAGACGTGACGTCTAGACGACGTCTGGCTGGCAGGGGCCTTCCGTGGTCGGCAGAAGGGGAGAACTAGTCGGACTTTCATACACTGGATTAGTAACAATAAGCAGAGCGGGAGGACGAACGTTGACGGCAACAGCGCACCCTATTATATAAACATGCCAGAGCCATCATTACTATGATGTTGGGCGTCAAGGAGAAGAAGAAAACATGGAGGTCAGGAAGAAGCAATGACAGAGAGTACTAACTCTATGCAGCTACGACGACTTCTTTGGTGCATGCCTCCATTTTTGGAGGCAGTGGCTAGTTGTTCCAATGTCTATCTAACGACAATCTACAACAAGTGTAGTTGACATCCTCCATGTTGGATTACAGTGCATGTCTGTTCAACATGCCAGTTTTCCCGCCAACACCTGGTCGTCGAGATTCATATGATAATTATTTTGACATAAATGAAAAGCCTTTAAGTACACTGTAATCCAACATGGCGCATGTGAAAGCCTGTTTGCCTCCACAGTCTGAATTGATAAGGTTTTTATAAGGCCCATTTTCAACTTCTGGGTGGGCAGTAATTCCGATCTTACTGATTACGAGTAATCAAATCAACATGACCTTAGCTATAAAAGAGTCCTCAGCATGAAACAAACGTGTCTTTGGCGGAAGCATCAGCTGTCCCAATGATTATTATGCTAAAATCAGAATAGAAACGGCCAACACGAGACTGATGGCTTAACATCTCATCATATATTGACGTAACAAATGTAAAATCCCTTGAAAGTTGACTGCTGACCTCTACTATATTGATTATATGTTATCAAATAAATTGTTCATATGTTGGGGACTTGGATGTGTGGCCTTCTATGCTTATTCATAATAGGCAGGAAACCATGATAGAATACTTAACGGTACTATAATTCTTATATAATGGCGTGGCACAAGAAACGGAGATGAGCACGTACACACCTTAAAGGTTTGGGAGGACTTTAGGACGTTGTCTGGGAGCCACTAGCCTAGGTAGCTCATATAGGGAGAAAAAAAAATCCCACGACCAAATAAAGCAAGGTTCAAGTATCGAAATGGAATGTGGCGCTGTAATTGACACGTAACGTTACGTTGAGAACAGACGTAGTACGGCATGGACATTAGTTTGTTAAGCCGAAATCAATCGCGTTCACTTTGGACAAAAGTATAGTCAGCCGTGGCGACTCGGTAAGCCTTTGGTATTTAATATACAGGCTACTTTTACATACATAAGGATTACCGAGTCGCTACGGCTAAAGTATAGCATATCATCTAACGGGTCGTATTATACACTGGACTATGACGCACCGGTGAAAAAAAAAAACTTAAATTGGGAAAAGTGCTCGCAATATTACCGGGAGGTCGTGAGTTCAAATCCCGGCCGAGTTCTACCAGTACAATAGTGTATATCACATACTACTGTAATACTGCTTTCTCTTAGCTTTCTAAAATAAAATAGCGGCCGAGCATTTTGGAAAAGAGCATCCGGGAAGGTCAAACACACAACTTGTACCAGCGGGCCAGTCCCCTGCTGTAGTGTGGCGCACTACCGGGGTGACAGAAATGGAGAAGTGCACCACCCCTACCACATGGAGTGGAACGTGACTTCTTCTTCTTCTTCTCTTCTTCCCTTGATGCCCACAATCGAGGCGTCGATTATTCTGGCATTTCAGGTCAGAGGTCCTTATACTAAAAATTGTCCAGTGTTCACAGTCCATTTAACCTCGCCGGGTCAGTTCCGAATAGTCCCGTCCATACTATTACAGCAGTGAAGACTACATGAGGCTGGACACCAGGTTGTTCACCGTGTCCACCTCTGCTGCATTCCAATCCTTGATGGTTCTAGGCAGGAATGAAAAGTCTCTGTACTGTGTTCTAGTTTTGTTGCCCTTTACAGGTCGTAGCCTTCAAAATAATACTAGTACTAGTAGCCATACAGGAGTTTAATCGTTCGACACCGAGTCTGTTTCGTTGTGCTTCCCCGATTCCTGACCAAATTGTTCCTGTCATCTCCCCCGAAAATGTTCCACGACCCCAGTTCTTCGTAAAATGATGAAAATTAATTATGATTGACGTATCATAAAGCTTCTCATGTTCATGCACGCGTGGATATCATCCATATCATCAAATGAATATGGCCTAACTTAGAATAATGCATAACATCATAATACAAATATGGGCTGTCCTATACCCAAACAAATGTCGAATAGTTTGCTATCTCGCATACAAACCCCAAAAGATCATCGGCAAAAAATAGAGGGGCCGTCGGTTTCAAAACGTTCCATCCTACATCTGCTTGGAGAGTACATCAGAAACAGCTGCAGCGAGAATCTCATCATCACGTCCTACTGCGCATGGCCGCAGGTCGGTAGTCTCTGCAGGGAAGATGACGTTAGTACCAGCTGGGAGGTTTAATCTGTATGTAGGTCACTCTGTCTTCATTAAACCGCCCTGAATAACACACGGTCGCACTAGATACATATGTATGTACAGTCAGTGAATAGCGGGTCGCCATGCGCTGATGAGACATGCCGAAACAGACCGTCACGAGTGGGGATGAGTCACACTGATCCTCGATCGATCTTCGGACATCTCAGAAACGGATACGATACTAGGCTCTTTCGGATCAGCTATTAAAGCAGACAGGAGAGAGACAATAGCAGGAGGTCATCGCCGCGAAAAGCGCGCCTAGGTTCAGGGTTAAAGGTATGTGGTCTAGGGTAACCTTACACTTTCGTAGGTCGTGTACATAATGTTACATGTAAAGGTTAGGTGGACAGGCAAGCGGGTCCGCCTATTTGCCGGAATACATATGAATACACCAGAATTCACTGAAAACATGATGAAATCTACTGGAATACACCTTGCTCTGATGAGTTAACAACATATCTAAAGGTTGCTGTAGTTTGGTACAAGATATCATTTTATAAACATTTGCCCTGGGAACAGAAGCAAAGGCAACAGTGAGTTTTACCTGCGAACGTGAAAACTGACCACAACACTGCTGCAGGAGGGATTCCTCCTTCGAATGCTGACCACTCCTGGAACGTCTGCGAAGGAGGCTTAAAAAAGTCATATATGCCCTATCTTTTATGCCAAAATATAGCAACCCATGATGTTGACAACTATCAAAACTTTCTTAATTTCGTTCAATCCTCGTATAATCCACAATGAAAACAAACATGGCGACTGATCAGGTCACCACTGCCGATCACCACTCAGTAATTTCTGAGTGATTTCTTCTTCCCTGGGCCATGTATCTTATGCCAAATTACAGTAACTTGTGTTACTTCAAAGTATACTTTTGTATTCCAATCCGGTAGATTTTGCCCTCCTTTATGTGCATTCTTCTGTATTCCGGTAATTAGGCGGACCGCAGGCAAACTGGGTGAGTGAGTGATGCCTAGAAACTTCTTGCCCTACTACTAAGTGGAACAGTTTCGTTATCAAGTTGGTCACCGTATAACTACATGTATCATATATATGCCCGTAGCCAGGATTTTGAATGGGGGTGAGGGGTGGGGGTTCCCACTGCTTGAAGGGACCTCGAGCGTCGTAGGCACGAGACGAGCGCCGAAGCTGCGTGGTTCCCAGGGGGGGTCCGGGGGCATGCTCCCCCGGGAAATTTTGAAAAATAAACCTTCTAAAATGGCATTTCGTGCATTTTTGAGAGGATTTCAAAGAAAAAATCAGAGATAAATTTTTATTCAAAGGGAGCAGTTTTTCTACGATTCCAGTTTATCTTTTCAAGAACTTTACATAAAAAGTGGACCAAAAAGTGGACCTTTAGTTTTACATAAAAAGTGGACCAAAAAGTGGACCTTTGACTTGAGCCTTGTGGGGGGTTCTTCCGAACCCCCCGAATCCCCCCTGGCTACGGGCATGTGTATAACTCACAGACAATTGGCCAAACTTGTTTAGGTACATTGCAGAATGCAGTTCTCTGATCTTAAGGAACAGTTAAAAAACTGTTAAATGGATTGAATGACTGATGAACTGCATGTTTAACCCAGATGGGGAAACTTCAACAGTTCAGCATCACGTTTGATGAGAGTAAGGATGTGTTCTGGGCGGGGGAATGTGTCAAAGGTCACGTGGTTGTGCAGGCGGCAGAGGACATGAAGATGAAAGGTAAGAAGGAAGATAGAGCGTCTTAAACTTAAAGGTATCCAATTTCAGGGCAGAAAAACAAAAACAAAATATTTTGGATGAGGAAATCTGTCTGATATTGTCATTTACTGCCATTTCTTAGATACAATTTTGTCATCATTTCATACTTGAAGCATTTGAAATACCTCCAAAAACATAAGATATGTGAGACATATTTTGGGGTACCGCCCATAAATAGGTAGAACTGCTCAGCCTATTAGAACAAAACAAGCAACTGTAATCCATAAAATACTATGAATTTAATGTAATTTGTAATCAGCTCTGAGAATTTAATGTAATCCGTAATTGGTAGTGAAAATTTTGCATAATTGGTAATTGCTTAACCCCATGTAGGTCCTTAGGTATCGCACCACAGTTCCACTGTGTGTCTCATATTACAGTTCTACAATGTGCCTGCCTGTCCCCCTGCAGGTCTGTGGCTGCTGTTCTACGGACACAGCCACGTGGAGTGGGAGCGAGGCAGCGGTGATGACACTATAACCTACAAGGCTACAGAGACATACTTCCACCATGAGGTCACACTGTTCGGCAAAGGTTACGGGCAAACTTACTTTGTCACTGTTTTGTGAGTCCCACAAAGTCACAGGGGCAAACTTAAAGATAGAATGGGAACAAAGTAAAGATGGGGTGGGGGCACACTAGAGATGGAATATGTGGACATACTAAGGCCACACCAATTTAATTTGTTGGTTCTCGGATTTTTTCAGGAAAAATATGAAGCGACAGGGCGAAAAAAATAAAAATAAAAACAGATCTAGGCATCCTATTATAGCCCCAAATGCTACGATAGGAGGTATGAAGTCAACAAAAAGGCTGGTTGAAAATTTAAACAATGAATTTTGAACTTCTAATTATACCACTGCATTGAAAGATGGAATAACTGTAACGACTAGGAAGAAAAGGACTGTTTTCAACTGTTCAGGGCAAAATATGAGCATTTTGCAGTTGATTCTGAATTTTTTTTTTGAAAATCAGGAAAAAATGAAGAGGCGAGTCCGAGAACCAACAAATTAAATTGGTGTGGCCTAAAGATGATTAAGTGCAAATACTAAAGATGATTAAGTGCAAATACTAAAGATGATTAAGTGCAAATACTAAAGATGATTAAGTGCAAATACTAAAGATGATTAAGTGCAAACTAAAGATGAGGTTTGAGTTTCAGTTTATTGCACAAAGATTTTAGCATGTTGCAGCCAGATGGCTGAATTGCATGCTCATTTACATACACTTGTACCATCAGTGAAAGCAAGGTTGAATATAGTAAAACACATTGCAACAGATTTTAAACTTTGAAGTTTAAACAGTTACAAATCTAAAGTTTAATAACTCAAAACATAGTGGTACCTTAACATATCTAAAATCAGTCTAAGCATAGTAATAATTAATGCGATGGTATAATAATTATAAAAAAACTCTCATATCAAAGGGACACAGGTTTAGTGTAAAAGTTTATGCAATGATTCTATAATTGCAGCTCGTGGACAGACTGGAGACAGTGTTGTGCTGCCCACAGGCCGCCATGTCTTCCCGTTCCAGTACCAGCTTCTTGCTGAGGGACTGCCCAGCTCGTTCGAGGGCAAACATGGCTACGTACGCTACATCATCAAGGGCACCATCTACAGGCCCTGGAAGTTTGACCACACCACGAAAACGGCATTCACCATTTTGGATAAAAGCAACGAGGTTTTGCAGGAAGGGTTGAATAGAACTGTGAGTCTTGTAACATGATGCACCTACCAGTAACGTTCAACCTGTGGCTAGCTGTATTGTATTACAGGAAGTTTTCGGTTTCTTCTTTTCACAGATCCTCTTTATTTAGGAAATTGCAACTGAGGATTTGAATTAATGATGAATGCATATTGACAAAGGATCAGACTAACTTTCTGTCCTATTTCACACATCATTCCATGTACGTGAGTATACGCGGGTTTGGTGCAGGTCAAATTGTAGCTGTGCAGGTATTTCTGATGTCTACCTGCACCTAACCTGCACTGGTCCATGTACTGGGTATACGCAGGTTTGGTGCAGGTCAAATTGTAGCTGTGCAGGTATTTCTGATGTCTACCTGCACCTAACCTGCACTGGTCCATGTACTGGGTATATGGGGGTTAGTGCAGGTAAAATTGGAGCTGTGCAGGTATTTCTGATGTCTACCTGCACCTAACCTGCACTGGTCCATGTACTGGGTATATGGGGGTTAGTGCAGGTAAAATTGGAGCTGTGCAGGTATTTCTGATGTCTGCCTGCACCTAACCTGCACTGGTCCATGTACTGGGTATATGCAGGTTAGTGCAGGTAAAATTGGAGCTGTGCAGGTAATTCTCACAGATGTCTACCTGTTATAACCTGCTCTGGGTTTCTGTGGATAAGGATTTTAATGTGACACACTGAATTAAGGTACCACAAACATTTTGAAAAGAATTAATGGCAATGGTTTTTTAACAGTAATTTTAGTAGGATCCATACGTCCTAAATTCTGCGTGCTGCAGGTATAATTTGTCTGAGGTTGCAAGTAATTTTCAATGTTGTCTGCACCAGTGCATGTATGCAGATATCAAGCACTGAGTGGTCTTTCTATCAATGAATGAATGAATGAATGAATGAATGAACTTTATTGCTTGACACAGTACAATTTGTGGCAGTAATACAACAATACTACCAAAACTAGACTATGTTATTACATTTCTTACTACAAACTACTATCTAATAGTATACAGTATATGTCGTTACAATATGTTCATGTATTGATGATATGGTCTCACTTATGAAATAAAGTGTACAGAAATTGACCTACGTAAGCAGATATGGTAGTTGGACATGATGATAATTCATGGAATGTATCGTACTGTGTACCAGATTGGGTGAACTTTGTCTTAGTAGTAATAGTCTGTAACAGTGTAATCTCTTTCATTTCTATACATGTAGGTGGGACAAGTCATAACAAAGTGAAATTCATCTTCAATACTCTCATTACAAGTGGGACACAGTCTCTGAGTGGCTGGTGTGTTGTGGTGTCGACCTTTTTCAATTTGAAGACAATGTGCGCTGATTCTCAGTTTTGTTATCAATTGCAGCATCCTCATGACCTGGCCCAAGCGTCAACCACACCAGGCTGCCTGTGCAAGTCTGGGCCGGTTGAACTGCAGGTCCAGCCGGACCGGTCAGTCTACTGCCCGGGGGAGGTCATGGTCATCACGGGGAACCTGAACAACGACAGTGGGGATGATGTGACCAGTGTCGAGGCAAGGCTGGTGCAGGTACCTGTTGAAATTTTCCTTTTTTTAGGCAGATTTTTAGGGAAAACTGTGAAAACTATTGTACTTGCTATAAAATAGATCTGTTTAAAGCATCCTAAATGCAGCAATTGCCCAGAAGATAATTTATGAAAAGAAAAAAAAAAGGTTAATATCAGACTCACCTCATTTATGATATGGCATACATGTATTTATGACATACTATTATACTTTCATACAGATTGCAACATTCCATGGAAACTACAGTACATTTCTCCAAGAGAAGACCAAGACAATAGATGCCAAAAACATTGTCCAGCGAGTTCGCATCTCCGGCTGCAAGCGGGGACAGTCGTTGGCTTTTTCATCCAGTAACGGTGCGGCTCTCCGAGTTCCCCCGCTACCCCCGCCCTCACTTCGCTTTTGCAAGATTATTGACATCAAGTATCAATTGGATGTAAGTGTATAGGTGGGATGGATTAATGGATCATTGTTGTATGTGGCTGATTTTATCTTTCCCGCCCATGTCTAGAAATTAAATGTTATTTAATAATTATAAAATGATATCAATGTGCACATTGTTAACTAACAATGTTATATCATACGTGCATATGATTAGCATTTCATATGCTTCCTACAGCAATGTTACATTTGCAATATTAAGTTCTTTTGAGATTTTCACAGATGAAACATACTAGTAAGTTAATGTATGGCACTGATTTCATTTTATTTGGTGAAATACTCAGCAGCCATGCATCAAATACCACATGTATGTACATACAATGTACATGTATGTACCAGAACATAGGGCACAATGCAAGATAGGATATTGACCAGTTTTTACTTTATCATATCAGATATGATAAATGAAACATATTCTGAAATAGACTTCTTGTGTAAAAATTCTTTTATGGATGTTTTGGTGTGGTCCCAAGCTTTTCTGTTGCACTCAAGTTTCATGTTCATTTCAATTCAAAGGCTTACATGGTTTGAGGTCCTATTGTAGCTGACTTGTCTAAGCGGTACTAGTAGTAACCCAACTTGTCGGAAACACTTTTTGACAAAAATTGTGAAAGTTGAAAAAAACTTTAATTGTGAATTTTACGTACATGTCGTTGAGTAGAGTACTGGTTTTTGAATCATTACATGGAATAACCTGTACTTTAATGATTTCTCACAGGTTGTGGCATGTGTGGAGGGAACACTATGTTCCTCCAGTCTGAAGACCCAGATCCCCATCAAGATTAGCCCCTACCGGCACCACCCACATGACAGTGCCCCACCCCCCTGGGGAACACCCTGTCCAGAGCCCCCTACTCACCCTGGACCCCCTCCCTACACTCCAGGACCTGCAGTCATCAACCAACCAACAGCCCAAGTCCCTTCTGCACCTGACCTTGGCTTTTGTAAGTAATACAGTAACAGTTGTACTACAAACTTTGGTGTCTCTAGAATTTGATGACTCAGGCTTTTTATTTTTACATCTACAATATTCTATCTTCTTGTTTTGTAACTCTGTAAAGTGGGTACAGTAGATACATGTAGATGGCTACTATGGACAGAATTCTTGATTTTGTCAATGGGAAAGTGATCTCAGAACAACTGACCAAAAAGTGACCACAATGGCCAGGTGACCATGCAGAGATAAGTCCTAGTATGTTGTTCTCAACAGGTGGTCACTAGTATGATTGTGTTATAAAGTGCCAAAGCAAAAAAAAAAGCATTTCTGTATCTTTCTAGCATGTGCTTTGGAGTCTCAAGGCTTAATAGATTGAAAGACTCAGGGTACATGGATGTCACCTTAGCGCACCCAAAATTGGAGCTCAGTGCAACTAATCTTTTTCTGTGGGTGTGCTGGTGACCCAAATATTTCTGTAGGCATTTTTGTAATCAAATGTATTCTTAGTGTCAGAAAAATCTTTGTTGTACATGTAGTACTAAGATTTTAAAATTAGCACCCATTTCAGATTCAAGCTCAGAAGGAGAGCAGTAAGATAATTAGGTTTTGTTTTCTAATGGTGCACCTAAGAACAATTTTTGTGCACATAATTTTTTAAGGTTCAACCAGTGCACCTATTCCCAAAAATGAATTTCGAGCCCCGAGTGCCCAGGGGATGTCATTAATAGATTAAGACGATACGTCAGCATTTTCTGTATCTAACTCTGTGTTGGTTTTGCAGCTTTCACGGCTCCCCCGTCATATGCAGAAAGCGAGTACGGAGTCAGCAGCATCCGGGACACAGACGACACGGACTACACGATGGGTGAGATGAACTTTGCTCCCAAGTACGCCTACTACGACTGGAGCAGGCACGGTCAGTCATAGCCTGGCAAACGTGGCCATACACTTGTCTGACATGAGACGACTTACATGTATAAGGCCACACCAATTTAATTTCTTGGTTAACGGATTTTTCTAGAAAAATATTGGAGCGGGCGGGCGAAAAAAAAATAAATAAAAACAGGCCTAGGCATCGTATTATGGCCCAAAATGGTACGATAGGAGCCATGAAGTCAACACACCAGGCTGGTTCAAAATTTAAACAATGAATTTTGAACTTTTAATGATACCATTGCATTGAAAGATGGAATAACTAACAACTAGGATGAAAAGGACTGTTTTCAACTGTTCAGGACAAAATATGAGCATTTTGTAGTTGATTCTGGATTTTTATTTTTATTTGCAAATCAGAAAAAAATGAAGCGGCGAATCTGTTAACCAAGAAATTAAATTGGTGTGGCCTAAGGACCCCATAAAAAGTTGTACTATTGCAACAGGAAAAGTGACATACACTTCAATTTAGTATTTCTGATTACTACATGTATAGGTAGGTTCGTGCTTAATGTGTCCAAAGTGTCCAAGTAGATTTTAAGATGGTAGGTATAACTTATAAGATGGACCAACATCTTATTTTCAACCTTATAACTGAAAGTATACATTTGAAATAATTGTACTACTAAGCTCACTCACTCACACTCACTATCCTGGTTTTGATTATACCTGTACTGTACTGTACTATACGGTTTCCCTGTCCTAGGGGTGGGCAGCAGTCGGCTGTTCTGGACACCACGCCTCCAGCTAGCTCTGTCCTGTGGGTCTGTACTGGACAGACCACACTCATTGATATATATAACAATATTACAGGCAATCAGTACTTAACGACAACAGGATTCTAGAACTACATTATTAGGCTCTAATTACGAAAATATAGACGATTTTTAGGTGTTTGGAGAAGAAGAAGAGGAAATCGAGTAAAAACAATATGTTTTCCTTCGGTAAACATTACAATATGTTTACCATTTTCTTCGGTAAACATAATAAACCCACAATCCGCCAATTCCATAATGTATCAAAAGAGGGAAATAGTCTTTTTGTGCAACAAATGAAATTATAGATCATAAAGGATTCCGCTATATTGTAACGTAGTTTCCAATATCACATGAATCTTGCACATATCGCTTCCCACACCATGTTGTTTATTTGTCTGTTCGATGAGATATTCCATATTGTTGTGTTATCATGTGATAGATGGTTTACCATTATGATAATATAAACACCCCCCCCCCCCACACACACAAATACATGCACGCACACACAAACACACATACGAGCAAACACACACACACACCGCATTGCAATTAGCAAGAAAAACAAAGCTGGTTTTATTGTGCACTAGTGGCTAAATGTAAACATTACTTAGAAAAACGTACCTGTTTTATATTTGGTCACACTGTCGGAAAGTCACAGTTGTCATATCAAGGAGTTTGGCTTGATTTTTAACCTCCTTGGTGAGTTATAAACCAGTCAAAGTCCTGCCTGGGCAGTTCTCATAGCTGTAGTGATCCATCAAGGGTCATACAAGAAAGACTTGAATCTGGGAAAGAACGTCAGTTTCAACCCGCCGACCGTTCTGCTAGTGCCTGACTTTGATGCACGCCTCGTTGAAATTCCACCGTAAAGTTATTTTTATTCAACTTTAGGCCATGTTGATTTGATTATATGGATGACATCCTCCGGGAGCCCAAAAACTGATGCGCGCGTGCGAATAAAAAAAATGTTTTGCAAAAAAAAAAGTTCTTTTCATTATGAAATCTACATGGTCATGAGGGTTGAGCAAATGGCACAGAATATGGTTTGGCGAATAATCTAGTCTTCAAGTTCATTTCTTTACAATTTCGTCTTTTTTCGTTTAATTTTGGCATTCTACAACATTGGTATAGTTTTTATTAAATATTTTTGTAACTTATGGTATATTTTTGCTCATTTTGCAACTGTTTTGTACGATTTATAGTATGGTTGAAAACGGCCGAAAATTCATGCGCGCGCGGATGTCATCCAATATATTATTCAAATCAACATGGCCTTAATGAAGTGGCGGTTGCAGTGCTGTACAGCGACAGAAGCCGTTTTGATAAACCGTTCTCCAGTCAGGTGTGAAAAGTGCCACGGTGGCAGTGCTCAAGTCCGTGATGAGTGACTTTGACATGTTGATTAACGGGCCAATCAGTGTAAACTTTTATCGACATCTTGTGACTGAACTCTTGTGTTACGAGATAATGCACGGATTGGCTAATCAACCTGTCACGTGCTGTGTACCTGAAGGTAAGTTTTCTCTCGTCATGATGCTATTTTAAGCACCAGTTCCCCCCCCCCCACTCCTCTTGTTTACCACACTCGTCTAGTAGCATAATATGGTCAATCTGGAGCTTTATATCAATTCTCTGGAATGTGGAAGAGTTACCCACACAAAAAGGAAGTACTCAAAGGTGAAAATACCCACAGATAATGGTATAAAAAAACAGAGTCCCTGCCCGACGCGTTAGGCCTTTTATCCATCAAGTCCTACAAAGCTATACATACATTCTTACAAAATGCCAATTAGCTTGCATAGTACAACTGAATGGAAACCAAGCAGATGTGAGACGCATGTTATGGGAATCCCCGAGAAAGTTATATTACCTCCCACTATCTGCTTGGTTGTCATAATCTCCAAGTAGATCATACGGTGGCAAGGCAGTATCCGGTATCCATTGGCCAGAGGAGTGTCTATTAGCCACTGAAGATCTGCCAACAGTCAAATATTGGCTAATGGCCACTCCAGTGCCCAATGGATACTGCCTAGCCACAGTATGATCTGCTTGGAGATTAGCTGTGACCAGTTCTGCGACCAGCTGACCACAAAATCAAGTTTTGACGTATAGCAGAAGAAATTGAATGAAGCAAATTTGAGGGAAGACAATAAATAGGAATAGTATATGGACCGTATGGAGTCCATTCTGAAAACAAGTACTGATTGAACCTGATGAATCAAGACCATATTGAGAGGCAGAGATTTCTTTATTGCGCAATGCTGAATAAAACATACCTCGTAACATCAGCTATGCCCAGAACTGTTCAAACTAGTGCTTAATACAGACTTACAGAACATTGACTGTCCTTTTGCTTTTTTGACAGACATTAATTGCTATTTTGTGGTCAAAAATCATTAAGAATTTAATATTGACAAGTGCAGAGCTCTACAAACATACTGTGCTTGGACTTTGAACTTGTATACTAGTAACTAAAAAGTTGTAATAACAGGAGTTTGGATATGACTATATATATCAAAGAGGTACATGTATGCCACCAAAACATTAATACTGGATTCAACTACATACTAAGGAAAAATGAAGATTATATAACATACTTTCATTGATTGAAAGAAACATATTGTACTTGGCCCAAATCAATGTATGAATAGGCTGAACAGAACTAACAAGTACATGTGCTTGTATAAGTGTCTGGCTCATCAGAAACCAACTACGTACACATGGAAATGTTAGTCACTGTTTGTACTTTCTAACAATGTTCCCATACATGTATATAAAGACCTTGGAATATTTAGGACAGTGATTCTTAACTGAATTGAAGATGCCCTTAGGCTACCAATATATACAGATATATACAGTTTTAAGAAGCCTTGTTAGTCAGAATTTAACGATTAAGGCCTGGTAACTTTTGTACATGTTGTATGACTTCTTTGTCGTAGCTACAACAAAATTGACAGTCTGTGATAAACTTTTCCATCATATCAGAGCTGAATTATGCCCCCAAAAACTTTGAATTTGCTGTCGTAAACGTGTTGTACAATGTAGGTGACCCTCACCAAGGTGTAGCCATACTGCTTACATATTATGTTAAACACTTGTGCTCTTTGGGTCTAAAACAGTCCCTTTTATATCCACACATAGGCCCATGTCCATAGACCTCTAAAAAGGATCAAATACCAACTAAGACCAGTGTGGCAGTTATGTATTAATTGCCATATATGGTAATCCAAAACTATTGGCAAAGATAACCTTTATGATCCAGAATCAGGAACAAGTGGATGTGACCAGGTGATGCTTACTTAACATGTGGCCTTAGATCAGGTGATGTTTACTTTTAAATGCTGTGACCTACTACTTGCTAATGTCAGAACTGGTTTGTCTACTTAAACTCTTAACAACTGAAGAAACAAACCTGTTTTTACGAGGAAGTGCAAAGCTGGATATTTACTAGAATTTCAATTTGCGTACACAATACATTCAACGAAAAAATCTTAAGAAGTTTCACCAAATTTCTATATATCGGAATGAGAACTAAACTGTCCAACTACCTGTGGTTATATTGCACCAATGAAAAATGCTTCTGTAAGTTTCCTGTTGCTTTGCGGAAGGTTTGCATGTGCAACATGTATAAACTCTGATATCTACATCTGGCAGCTCTGGGGAACAAGATATTCTTAGGTGAGGGCAACCAAATATTTCCATCAACAACCCCTTTATTCTTTTCATATCTAAAAGAATGCAAATGTATAATGTTCCATGATTAACAATTTGCTATTTACGCTCCAAAAAATATGATAGAAGGGCTATTTCCAGATTGATCCAAGGAGGTTAAGAACCTTGGTAGATCAAACCTGCTGTAGCTAATCTCCAAGACAATATCAAATTGGCAAGGCAGTATCCATTAGCCAGACAGTATCCATGTGCCACCCATACTTGGGTGGCTAATGGACACTCCTCTGGTCAATGGGTACTGCCTTGCCACCCTATGATCTGCTTGGAGATTAGTTGTTGCCTCTTTCGCATGCATTTCTTTCTATTCCAAGAGGCTGGCAGCATACTGGTCAACTTGTTTTAAAGCCATGTGAAACCCGATGCATGCCTGTTCACCTTTGGCCTCTAGCATGTCTAGCAGCTCGCGCGCTGCATCCTGGGGAGTCCTGGTAGCCAGGACGCGGTCGTTCTCCTCATCGCTGATGACGTCATCGGCGATGAGACGGTCCAGGATGGGCCTGATGTGACGTAGGGTCTCCACCAGCTGGGCACGCTTCCGAGCTATTCTTCCCAGCATGCCTGTGGTGGTACAAAAGGCAAACATTGGTAAAAGTCATTCCCCGAACTTTAATGCGCCTTCTTGGAATTGGAGAATTAAGTGATCATTGCAAATAGGAAGAAAGATGAACACATGAATATAGGTAAGAACATACCTATCAAATCGGAGTATCAAATCGGAATGTTACAGAAGCGTTCACAGAATGGGGATTATGCATATAATAATGTGATCATGTTTCTCATTCTATAAAATATTTGACAATCACGCATTGAAGCCCTGTGTCTAATGATGATACGTACCTTCCAGGTTTCTGAGGTGCAACAGGAGGTCCTTGACGTCTTCTGGAATGTTCCTCCTGGGATGGACGACGTCCCTGCCCGCCCCCGCCGCCTCCTCCACCTCTTCCCTGCTGTAGGCGTGGATCTCACGTCTGTGTTCCCGGAGGTCCAGGGCACTCAGCACCATGTCTTGTGACCTGGCTCCTGGGCTGGTTTCGTGCAGGAGTTTGTACGCCATGTCTGTCAGGACGTCCATGAGAGCTGTGCAGTGCTCCCTGATGCCTTTCCTACTCCTGACGAAGATATTGAGCCGCCTCTTGTCCTGTGAGATCTGCAGCAGGGCTTCTGCCTTCCCGTCGGTACACTTGGCGCTGTTCGTCCACAGGAGTGGTTCGCTGAGCCTGTCTGGATGTGCCTTTGTGAGCAAATTCTTAAGCATGGGGAACAGCTCGCACGAAAAGCTGTCGGTTGTGGAGCAGCAAGTGATCTGGATCCCGAAGTAGACAGCCTTGATGGATACAGGGGACCACGCCTTTTCATCCATCTCTAGATGTTGAAAGTGCAGCAGAAGATCCTTCACTTTTTCCGGGACGTTCCTATGAGGATGGACGACGTTCTCTCCCTTTGCTGCTGCTTTCTCCACCTCTTCTCTGCTGTAGGCGTGAGGCTGCCAACTGTGTTCCCGGAGGTCCAGGGCGCTGAGCACCATGTCTTGTGACCTGGCTCCTGGGCTGGTCTCGTGCAGTAGGCGATACGTCATGTCTGTCAGGAGGTCCATGATGGAGTTGCAGTCCTCCCTGTCGCCGTCGTTGCTCCTGACGAAAATGTTGAGCCACCTCTTGTCTTGTGAGATCCGCAGAAGGGCCTCGGCCTTCCCGTCGCTACATTTGGCGCTGTTCTTCCACAGCAGAGGTCGAGCTTGGAGCTTGTCTGGGTGCGCCTGCATCAGCAGCGTCTGCAGCCGGGGGAACAGGTCGCACGAGAAGCTGTCGATCTCCGTGCGGCAGCGGATCTGCATCCCGAAGTAGACAGCCTTGCCGGACACAGGAGACCACGCCCTCTCGTCTATCTCCTGTTGCAGCATGCTGGGGAGGATGAAGGTGTGACCGTCGAACGAGTGGCAGAGCTGGAAGTCCTGCAGCAGCTTGATGAGCAGAGGGATGTCGGCAACAGTGCCGAAGACTCGCTGGAGTTCCCCATAGGTGACGTGATCTTGGGCAGTTCGCTGGATGTTGTCGATGGGGAAGTTGTCAGGAGCCAGGAGAATTCCAAAGACTGACGTGTACAACCACTGCGGGGACAGCACTACCACAGCAGCGGCATCGCGGCGAAGGTAGATAATCTGAATTTGGCAAAAAAAAGCAGAATATTACATTATAATGCATTTTCGTCAAACATTTGTTCACATATTCCTGAAAATATGTCTTAAATCTTTTTACCATACATACGCAATAGCGTTTGTAGATTTACCTCTCCAATATCATGCAAGTATGATGACGCGAGCTGTACAATTCTCTCTGCTAGGCTGACGGAAATGTCCCGTTGAACAGCTGCTAGATACTCCTCCCACTGCATCACCGGGAACGTTTCTCTCTGCTCCCTCCAGCGTGCCAGGTTGGACATCAGCTGCACACAGACCTTTGGAACTGCCTGTCGGTCCTGCATGTTTTTGTCACACGTGTTTTGTCATGTAGGAAAGAGTACGGATATACAGAATTTAAGGAAAGTAAAGAAAGTGATCTCGATACGGTTTTAGCTAAATGAAGTGTTACTCTCCCACTTTACTGGTCGTAACAGAGAAGACAGAGAACAGAGGTGCTATTTACATGTTCATTGTGCCGGGGAAATTCCTCCTTGCTCTTTTTGGCAAGCACAATAAACAGTGGACCACAACGTCCCGTCCTAAGGACCACGAACCCTTTCCAATTAATGTCAGGTGTGCGACGACAGCTGGGGTTTGAACTCCCAACCTCTTAGTCCAGAGGCAGGGTCGCTAACCACTGGACTACGCACTCACAGATTATCTAACTACATGGTGTTCCTCTCTATTTATGTTCGAGCTCATAAGTATAAGTGAATGCTCATGCTTTTGAAGTTGTTTACCTGCAACATTTCCTCCTTGAAAGCAGCAAGCACGTGTCGTAGCCGTTCGATGTTAGCTGACCCGGCTTTCAGGCAGTTCATCAGGAACACCTCCGGTGACACCACCAGTACTCCCTCGAACAGCTTTCTGTAGTGTTCTACCATGGCTTCGGCGCGGCGGAGCCCTGCACGTTTTGGCATAGAAAGGGAACATTCTGGTTATGTAGCATCTAGGTTATCGAACAAGGACAGAAGGAAAATGGTCAGTTAAACTTGTATCAGAGTGGACTTGAACAACATCTGTCATTTGGTGGTCGTAATGATACGATGAAGCTAATGAGTTACCTGCTGTCTTATCTTGTAGCTTGTCAGCATGACTGGCGATCAAGACGATCCGGGGCATGTTGGTGGGATCTGGGTTACTGCAGTTGATGAAACTTAGCCAACCATGGACCTAGAAAAATGTGTACATGTTTATTGTTAATACTTATTGCTGTATATCCTTTGTCGTTACTTGCATCAAATTGGTTCCAGTATGAGACAGTGGATCTTGGAGTTGTAATAAAATGTTTAAAAGGAATAGACCATCACGTTAATGAGTTATATGAAAATATACCAAAAGATTGACCCCAAAAAATGCCTGCATGCCTGGTGTTTCTGTTCCTCCTCCCCATCTGTGATTTTGTAGACGACCGGGAAGATGGCGTTTGTTGTACGGAGCAGCATGGCGTGTGTGACGTAGAACTGCGCCTGTCCTGCGAAGTCAAGCAGACTCAGTCTCCCGATCCCCCTCACGTGTTTACGTGACACGTGCACTCCTGCGGTGGGGTTGAACTCTTCCTTCCTGAACCTTGTTCGGATGTTCCACAGAACGGCCAGAATGAAACCGGTCTGGAATAAGTAAATAAACAAAGCCATTGTTTTTCTCAGTCTCAGTGTATCTTTCGAAATTATAGTTCTAGAATTATTGTTATGGAAACGGTAAAAGATTGTTGACACATAGTAGTACTGCTCATTGATCGAAACATTTGGCATTGAAATTGGATACGCTGTTAACATAACATAAGCTGTTAACGTGAAATGTGTTTAGTGCTATCCCTACCTTTTTTAGAATGGCCCTCAAGGATGTTTTCCCAACCTGCCCGTCTCCAGAAAGAAACAGCTTTACTGTTGTTTCTTCTTCAGACCCCAGAGAGGAGACCAGCTCGCCGTACTCTGCCTGCTTCCGTGTTTCTGTCTGCGAATTAATCACTTATATCGGTTAACAGACCTTTGTGTCAGAATCTCAAAGTTACAAATAAGCATAAACTTTTCAATTTCTTTTCGAAACTTCTTTATTATTGTCCACATGATACAAATTTGTGAAATTTAGAAAGAAAGCTTACTCTAATAGAACTAGATTTTGACTGACGATTTGCTTTCTCGGATTATGATTAGAATAGCTACTTCTGACACACGGCCCTCCAAGGCTACCACAGACAGTTCTTGAGATCTATACGTATACCTGTTGTCATAATACATACCAGCGTTCCCCATCATTCATGTCTAGTATAACTTACTTCTACCAATAATCTTGTACTTTCGAGCAGTAGTGTGGCATCGTCGACTGGGCGTTTGTCATCCTGAAACAAAAACAAGAAGCCATAGGTGACAATCCTCCGTGAAGTTTTATATATTTCAACAAAAACAATCCCAAGCGTCAACGCCAGACCTACTGTGCAGACATTATAATTAGGCAACGGTTAATACAATGAGGGCGCGTCACAAGCATAAAACATAAAAAGACCTAAATCCATTACTGCTCCCAGTTCGAAGTTCATTTTGATTACAAACACACAATCATTGCATTCACATAACAAGAGTTCCGAGATCTTATACCTCCATTAAAAAAATGGGCTTAATATGTACATGTGAACTTCTTTAATTATTCAAATGACCTCTGCATTAACATGATATATGCATCGTGGTGTATGTTAACTTTTGATTAACTTACAGATGCCCCAAGTATGACATTCCCATCATTCAACATTAAGAAATCATAGAATTTTCGCATTAATTATGTAAATTAGGTCATCATTTGCATAATTAGTATCTGTTGATGTTCCGCCTGCCATAGGTTACATACATTACATGTATAAATGTAGTATAATGTAAAAGACTGTGATTATAGAATTTCCACATTAATTATGCAAAATTAGTCCTCATTTGCATAATTTGCATTTAATTATGTACATCTCTCTCTCGACTACCTACACACCAAAAATTATGAAAATACGTTGTTCCTATCTGGACTTATTGGCTTTTAAACATTTCGCCAGAAAGTGCCCTGCAGTTCCAGAACAAGCTGCTAGGGAGACCAAACTCACACCACTTATTTCTGACAGGGAAAGCAATCTGCCACCAAAATATCAAGACCATAGCATGTTCAGGACAAAAGATACAAAAACCGGAAGTTCTGCTGCAGTACCAAGGTCATCCACCAGGAGGCCCATATTTGACCTTGACCTTTGTCTTCCCAAGAATTACCAGCGTACCAAATATCATGGTAATCCATAAAGGTGTTCTGAAGTTATGCTGACCACAAAGTTGCGGAAACACACACAGACAGACACACACACACACACACACACACACACAGACAGACATACATACAGACAGACGCGCCAAAAACAATACCTCCATTTTTCATGGAGGTAAAGATCGGACTATCATGGTCGTGTCACTATTAACGAAGACAGTCCCACCGTCTTACCGTGCCTGTTACTTATTAAGCGCGACTGGGCCGCGAGTGTAACTGCCGCCGGTCAGATACCCGGGATATCTGCTTAGAGAACCTCTGCTACCAGACAACTGCCTAAACCTACGGCCTATTCCACAGGATTGTAAAAATAGGGATGTTTCTAAAATATGCATTTACTTCAATATCAAAACTGCTACGGTGAAAATAAAAAGACGTGCATCATCACGGACATAATGGTACACCACATGCCCAATTACACAGAAATGCGACGTACGGAAGAATGCGTTTTGGCTGCGAACATCTTCCAAAAAACTTGGCATCTCTTAGCACGGGCTAAAACATCTGGAACCACTTATCAAAACCACCCCGTATCTGCATGAAGCTCCACCCCCCACTGCTATTCCAAACAACGCGTTTTTCTGGACCATTCCAATTCGCCTCGTAATTGTAGGGGTGCGTCTGCAATATTACATTGACCGCGAAAGCAGCAACGGCAAAAGTACACATTCGTGCATCAACACGGGCATGCCCGCAGACGGCGTATAAAATTGCGTGCCGATTACACAAAGAGAACCCAGTGTTTTGACTGCGAACATGAACAATCAGCCGTTCACAACACTCCGTCCGGAGGTCCTGACCTCCTTCACGGAGTAAAAAACAACACTTAAATGGACACTACACATGCGGAAAAAAAACTTTCTGACAGCCACACAGATTGCAGAAAACCAAGATTAAAATTAAAATAATTATTTTATGACATTGTATACCTAGTGACTAAAACGTCTAATTTCTAATCTTTCGTATTTTTTTCCTTTATGTTATTTAGTCGATTATGTTTGACGTTCATACCTTGTTGGTGATCAGAAGATCAACTCGGTTCCTGATAAGCAGCTCCACAACCTTATCAGGACCCACTCTACACGCTACATGCAGAGCTGTGTCTCCGTCCTGTAACACAAAAGTCACAAAGGAGATATGGCTGTGTGAAGTTGCATCTGTACAAACACAATGTTCACATTCGCACTTTTACTAACCTTGTTAGTCACGTTGAGATCAGCCTGGTTCTTAACGAGCAGCTCCACAATCTTATCACGACCCTCTCTACACGCTACATGCAGTCCTGTGTCTCCGATCTGTAACACAACAGTTAAACAAAGGTCACAAAAAAGATACAGATGTCAAAAGTCGGATGTTGCATGTTAACACAATGTTCACATTCGCACTTTTACTTACCTTGTTAGTCACGTTGAGATCAGCCTGGTTCTTAATGAGCAGCTCCACAAACTTATCACGACCCTCTCTACACGCTACATGCAGTCCTGTGTCTCCGATCTGTAACAAAACAGTTAAACAAAGGTCACAAAAAAGATACAGATGTCAAAAGTTGGATGTTGCATGTTAACACAATTTTCACATTCGCACTTTTACTTACCTCGTTAGTCACGTTGAGATCAGCCTGGTTCTTAATGAGCAGCTCCACAATCTTATCATGACTTCTTCTACACGCTACATGCAGACCTGTGTCTCCGTCCTGTAACACAACAGTAAAGCAAAGGTCACAGAGGAGATATGGCTGTGTGAAGTTGGTCATTACATCTGTACAAACACAATGTTCACATTCGTACTTTTACTTACCTTGTTAGTCACGTTGAGATCAGCCTGGTTCTTAATGAGCAGCTCCACAACTTTATCACGACCATCTCTACACGCTACATGCAGACCTGTGTCTCCGATCTGTAACACAAAAGATATAGCAAAAGTCACAAAGAAGATACGGCTGTGTGAAGCCGGCTATTACATCTATACAAACACAAAGTCTGTAACACAATGTTCACATTCGCACTTTTACTAACCTTGTTAGTCACGTTGAGATCAGCCTGGTTCTTAATGAGCAGCTCCATAACTTTATCATGACCATCTCTACACGCTACATGCAGACCTGTGTCTCCGTCCTGTAACAGAAAAGATATACTTTGAAACTTTATTCGCAAAATCATGCCCGAAGGCTAATTGCTTATACAATCAAGGATGATACACATTGCAATACAGTAACATGAGACAGGTAACAACCGTCTGGAAAAACTTCTACTTCTACTACTACGCTAGCTATTATGGGGTTCGACTTCTTCTTTAAAGGCTGTGGATAATGAATAGTCCCACATTCTGCTTAATTAGTGGGTTTTGTGATCTTAGTAGAAATGCAGTTTTTGGTGATCTTCTAAATGACGAAAGGATGGAGAAATTGTTGTAACTGTCTGAAATAATCTGTTTCTTTCGGTCTCATAGTGAGGACACTGGCTAACAAAATGTATTTCATTTTCCTCTGCATTCATTGTACAATATTTACATAATCTCTCGTGCACAGGTAGTTTTCTATCTCTAGTTGATGCGCACTTATTCTAATCTTACACATGGCAACTCGCTCGTCAAATTCATTGTGGTATAGATATTTTTCCATAGAGTAGTCGGATTTGAGAGTCTTGTAAAATCTCAGCTTGCAGTTTATCTACAGACAATTGGTGAAAGAACGTTTGAACATACATATCAGTTAGTCTTCTCTTCAACAATGTACATATACTCTTGTTGTCTAAAGTACAGTGGTTCGTGTTCCATAAAAAAGAAAAGCCTGCGTTGTTAATTATTTCTTTGACATGGTGTAGCCAGCTTTTCTTACCACTATTTCCCATATTGTGTTGCTGATAGAGTAATGCATCTACCTGTAAGGGGTGTGTGAAAGTGCCCAGTTGTTTGAGTCTCAACCAATATTTAACTACACGGACGGATACATCTATATCTGTTGGGAACAACCCAAGTTCTGCCCTACCTGCTAGGTTACTAGAATTCCTGTGCACACCAAGGATATTTTTACAGAAGCGGTTCTGAGTTATCTCTAGCTACGGGACAATTGTCATTTGAGTAATCTTTACCCCAGATCTCACAGGCGTATAACATAAGATTATAGATTTGATGCACGCATCAAAGAGTTTGAGTAAGGCCTTGGGGGACAAGGAGGTGCGGATAAGGGGTTTGAGACTAAACACTAGTACTGCTTTATATTACGAGTTTTTAAAAATAATTGTTTTTTGGCTAAAGAATAACTGCCAGACGAGGACATAATTAGACCTAGGTAGGTATATGAGCTTGTGATTTGGATATTTTCTGCGCCGAAGGAAAATTTGGTGTTCTTAAATGTTCTTCCTGTTTTGATGAAAATCATCACTTTCAATTGGTTTTGTTAAGGTTTACCTGAATGTTCCATTTCTCACTAAATGCGTTTAGTTTGTTTAGCGCACATTGTAACCCTGTTTCCGATTCCGAGAACATCACAACGTCATCTGCATAAAGCAGACAAGATACCAGTAAATTGTGTAAGGTGGGTGGGGCACAATCAATGTCATCCAAGTCATTAACTAGGTCGTTTATGAATATGTTAAAGAGGGTTGGACTGAGGTTGCATCCTTGTCTGACTCCTTTGTCAGTAACAAACAATGGTGTGAGGCCGGCTGACGTTTTGACACAAGTTTGTGGGTTGGAGTACATAGATTTGATTATACTGTAGAATTTACCACCTATTCCTGAGCTGAGTAGTTTATACCGCAGTCCTTCGCGCCAAACGCTATCGAAAGCTTTACGAAAATCGACAAAGCATGCATAAAGACGTTTATTGACGTTAGTGTATTTAGATATTAATGTATCAATGACGAAGAGGTTGTCGTTGGTTCCAAAGTTTTTTCTAAAGCCGGCCTGGTTAGGGAAAATGAGGTTATGTTCATCTAGGTAATTAGTAAGACGTGTGTTTATTACAGCTGTGAATAACTTAGCGAGGCAGCTAAAAACTGAGATACCCCGATAATTGTTGGGATCTTCTTTAGGTCCACCTTTATGCAGTGGAACGATGTGGCTTACGCGCCATTGTTGGGGAAAGTGTCCGGATAAAAGAAACAAATTAAATAATTTGGTGAGGGGTTTGACAAGGACAGGAGATGCGCATTTTAGCATCTCATTAAGGATCAGGTCATTGCCTGAGAATTTATTATTCTTTAATTGAGTGATTGCTTGCATAATTTCCTGCTGTAGTATAATGGTATCTAAATAATTAAGGCTTTCGGACTGTTCTTCTAATTCATATAGCAAAAGTCACAAAGAAGATACGGCTATGTGAAGCCGGCTATTACATCCATACAAACACAAAGTCTGTAACACAATGTTCACATTCGCACTTTTACTAACCTTGTTAGTCACGTTGAGATCAGCCTGGTTCTTAACGAGCAGCTCCACTATCTTATTACGACCATCTCTACACGCTACATGCAGTCCTGTGTCTCCGTCCTGTAACATAACAGTTATAGCAAAGGTCACAAAAAAGATACAGATGTCAAAAGTCGGATGTTGCATGTTAACACAATGTTCACATTCGTACTTTTACTTACCTTGTTAGTCACGTTGAGATCAGCCTGGTTCTTAATGAACACCTCCACAACTTTATCATGACCATCTCTACACGCTACATGCAGACCTGTGTCTCCGATCTGTAACACAAAAGATATAGCAAAAGTCACAAAGAAGATACGGCTGTGTGAAGCCGGCTATTACATCTACACAAAACAATGTTCACATTCGCACTTTTACTAACCTTGTTAGTCCCGTTGAAATCAGCCAGGTTCTTAATGATACGATATGAATCTTTATTGCATGTTCTTGCCCAGATGGGCTAAATGCACAAGAGGATATGCAGTATGCAAAAACATGAGTATTTCATACTGGAACGCTATATTCTAATGCAAAGTGCTAGGAATCTATACATTACAACAATACTATATACTACCTATCATCTACTGTTAGTTGGCCATTCTTCTCTCTTTTTGAAACATTTGGAAACACAATTACATAGTTTGTCTACTGTACATTCGTTCTTGCATGACATCAAGTATTTAAACATGTCCTGCTTTGATATTTTTTTACATATCTTGTCTAATTGTAAAGTATCGAATAGCTCTTGGCGTTCATCTTTATCTAATGTACAGTCAAGTAGAAAGTATATCTCGTTTTCAACATATAAACAAGAATTCGGAGATTTCACACCTCCATGAAATATACGAGTTTTTGTATATGTTTTTTTTGTCTCATTGACTATGGAAATAAGGTCGTAATTAGCATAATCTAGTTTAATTTATGATTTTCTAAATTCAAATGACCTCATGAATTATGCAAATGACCTCAACAGTAACATAATATATGCATAGTGGTGTTAACCTTTAAGTAACTTACACATGTCACAAGGTATAAAAGTCCCATTATTCACCAATAAGGAGTCACAGAATGTTCACATTAATTATGAAAATTAGGTCACCATTTGCATAATTGGTATCTGTTGATGTTCCGCCTGCCACATATTAAATATTTTACATGTGTAAGGTTCCGGGTCGGAGTTTAAATCTGACCAGGGTTCCAAATAGTGCGCAGTAAATCGCCGGATCTGCGAGGTTGTCACGCTAGGTTTGGCTCCCCATAGCTCGGAGATCGTTGTAGATTTTCAAATAGGTTTTGACTTGATCCAAAACCTTGTGATTGTAGTGTTTTTCGGCGTGGTGAAGTTGGACGGCCAGCGAAGCGTTTTCTGTATTAGTCCGCGAGCAAGGGTGATGCGGTTTGTCGCCTGATGACCCAAATAGCTGAGTTCTATGTGGAATTTAAAGGCATTCGCGTCACCGGATTTTGCGAAAAACTTATCGCAACGACCTATATTTTTTTCCGTTTTTCAGAAAAAGGAAGTAGTAAGCTACTTCAATATATAAGCCGTTAGCCTGGGAAAATTCGTTTTTTCATAGCGGGTCCGTTGAAAAAGCTGCAAAAAAACTATATTTTTCGTATCCAAAATTTACGTTTAACTACAGTTTCTACCCAAATTATAGAGTCAACAGACAATAAACAAAATTGTATCTGAAGCCGGCTGGAAACCTCCCTTGACTGATGCAATGAGATTTCCCGGCGTACTTTTTTGGCGGAGTTGTAGCCCTTCGGTCTGAGGGTGTCCGCCGGCTCCAAAATCGTGAAAAAAAACTCCGGTCCGAGACCATAAAAGTACTATTATATAAAACAATGCAATTATAGCATCTCCTCATCAATTATGCAAATTAAGTCCTCATTTGCATAATTTGCATTTAATTATGTACAACTCTCTCTCAGCTACCTACACACCAAAAATGATGAAAAACGTTGTTCCTATTTGGACTTATTGGCTTTTAAAGATTTCGTCAGAAAGTGCCCTGCAGTTCCAGAACAAGCTGCTAGGGGGACCAAACTTACACCAATTATTACTGACAAGAAAAGCTATCTGTCACCAAAATGTCAAGACCATAGCATGTTCAGGACAAAAGATGCTACACGCTACATGCACAGCTGTGTCTCCGTCCTGTAACACAACAGTTAACGCAACGGTCACATAAAAGATACTGTTGTGTGTAGTGGGTCGTTACATCTGTACAAACACAATGTTCACATTCGCACTTTTACTTACCCTGTTAGTCACGTTGAGATCAGCCTGGTTCTTAATGAGCAGCTCCACAACTTTGACATGATTCCGGTTACACGCTTCAAGCAAAGGTGTGTCTCCGCTCTGCAAAGGTCAAAAAGAAGACACAGGTGAGTGAAGTCAGCTGTTACATCTGTATAAACCAATGTTCACAATCGCTCTTTTACTTACCCTGTTAGTCACGTTGAGATCAGCCTGGTTCTTAATGAGCAGCTCCGCAACCTGATAATGACTCCATCTACACGCCACATGCAGACCTGTGTCTCCGGTCTGTAACATAACAGTTAAAGCAAAGATCACAAAAAAGATACAGATGTGTGAAGACTGAAGTCACATGCTGCTTATGTATAAGCACAATGTCCACAGTTGTTCTTTTACTCACCTCGTTAGTCACGTTGAGATTAGCCTGGTTCTTAATGAGCAGCTCCACAACTTTGACATTACTTCTGCTACATGCTGCGCATGCATGCAGAGCTGTGTTTCCGGTCTGTAACGTAACAGTAAAGTAAAGGTCACAAAGAAGATGCGGCTGTGTGAAGTCGGCCGTTACATATCTGTTCATGGGCGGTAGGCCACCGAGTTTTTGTCAAGATCTCTGTTGCTTTATTTATATACTTCGGTAACTGAACACACTTTCATTGTGCGATGTGTCGTACAACATTCCCGAGAATCATACACTGAACACAAACACCATAAACTCGGCCCGTTGAAAGATTCCCGAGAATCATACACTCAACACATAACAGCGTGAACTATATATATAGGTCCATTGAAAGATTCCAGAGAATTCTCTGTACAATAAACCATGCATATATAACCCCTACTAGGTACTTGGTCCGCTGAATCATACAATAAAAAGTACACTCATTACTCATTCTCAGGAATCTTTCAACGGGCCGTGTTCACGGTGTTATGTGTTAATTAACTGCATGCTTCTCGAGGATATTTCAACGGACCGTGTTGTGATGGCAACGGGCTAAATGAGTAGACAGTGTGTATGTTCTAACATATGCAAAACATAAGGCTTTTAATGGTTTACAAAACAATATAGATCTCAACAAAAACGGTGGTCTAGCGCCTGTGATCTGTGCAAACCCAATCTTCACATATGATCTTTTACTTACCTTGTTAGTCACGTTGAGATCAGCCTGGTTCTTAATGAGCAGCTCCACAACTTTGACGTTACCCCCGCTACACGCTACATGTAGAGCTGTGTCTCCGTCCTGTAACGTAACGGTAAAGCAAAGCTCACAAAGAAGATACTAGGCCGTTGCATCTGTAACAAGAGTTCCGAGATCTCATACCTCCATGAAATACGGGCTTGATATGTAAATGTAAATTTCTTCTTTACTTACGCAAATGACCTCTGCATTAACATAATATATGCATCGTGATGTCAACTTTTGATTAACTTACAGATGTCCCAAGTATGTCATTCCCATCATTCACCATTAAGGTTCCAGGTCGGAGTTTAATTCTGACCAGGGTTCCAAATAGTGCGCAGTAAATCGCCGGATCTGCGAGGTTGTCACGCTAGGTTTGGCTCCCCATAGATCGGCGATCGCTGTAAATTTTCAACTAGGTTTTGAATTGATCAAAAAGCCTTGGGATTGTAGTGTTTTTCGGCGCGGTGAAGTTGGACGGCCAGCGAAGCGTTTTTGGTATTAGTCCGCGAGCAAGGGTGATGCGGTTTGTCGCCTGATGACCCAAATAGCTGCGTTCTATGTGGAATTTCTAGGGGTTCGCGTCACCGGATTTTGACGAAAAACTTATCGCAACAACCTATATTTTTTTCTGTTTTTCAGAAACAGAAAGTAGAAAACTATTTCAGCATATAAGCCGTTAGCCTGGGAAAATTCGTTTTTTCCAAGCAGGTCCGTTGAAAAAACTGCAAAAAAACTACATTTTTCGTATCCAAAATTTACGTTTAACTACAGTTTCTACCCAAATTATAGAGTCGACGGACAATAACCAAAATTGTATCGGAAGCCGGCTGGAAACCTCCGTTGACTGATGTACTGAGATTTCCCGGCGTACTTTTTTTGGCGGAGTTATAGCCCTTCGGTCTGAGGGTGTCCGCGGAATCCAAAATCGTGAAAAAAACTCCGGTCCGAGACCTTAACAGGAAGGCGCATGCGCAAAAAATGACGTCATCGATGACGTCATTCGTATGGATTTAAAAGTTTTTGGCAAAAGTTATCCGATTCTGACAAAAAACCGCATCATTTTGCTTTTTTCGAGTGAAAAAGTCCGTATATTCATGCCCAGGCCCTAGGCGCCCCCCCCTCCCCCTTTTTCTCGCCCCCCCCCCCCGGAAACTCCCCGTCAGGGCATTTTAATCGTTTCTGGAAGGTAAACAGTTCTTGCATGAATTCACTTTCTATGTCATTTTATATGAGTCGACCTCTGAATTTGACTTTCGTATAATTTCGGCGAAGTTTCTCTATTCATGGTGACTTAAACTGACATTTAACAGCAAAATCGAAGTGTTTTAAGCCTTCTTAAGGCAAAACTGGGTTTTCTGATGTTCGGTTCAGGGCTCCTTAAATTCGCGACTTTCTTTCCTTTGGGTGGTGTTAAGTGATAGCCTAATAAGTACTCCTCACATCTTTACAGCGTTTATTTCAACTTCTTGCTCCTAGCCACGGCAATATCACCCAGATTGTGTTTTGCACCTCGTAATAATGCAGCCTTTCACACATTTAAGGAGCGCTTTGCTACTTAATAGGCCATTCACGGCGAAATAGTGAAGAGTTTGGTGTCGGACGCGTTTGATTCGGACAGTGCGAACCCTGGTCTATCATTCAAGGTCGAAATCTGACGAATTCTTGCTTTTACTTTAAAGCGACGAACCTAAAACGCGACCCCATGCTGTTTTCCCAGGGGACCCCATGACGTCACTGCGTGACGTCATCGATACCAACTGTTAAGAACGTTTTCTGCAAGTATGCGGCACCGAAACTACGAAAAGAACACATATATCCATAGCCAAGATCCAGAGCAGACTTTTATTTTCGTTATAACTGTTTTGAGAAAAGCGATGTTTGAAATAACGGTATTTTTCTAATTGCCCCATTGTGACGCTGCCTGGAACCCGAGACTTGGCAATATAGCCTTAGAACACTGCATTTTTCACATGACTTTAAACCTCTGCCGCGGGAAAAGTACTCATCGCAGACATGTAAAATTTGGATATATGATAGATATGATGTTTCTGAAGAATTAAGATAATTTTTTATGAAAAATAATTTCCTTAACAGGAAGGCGCATGCGCAAAAAATGACGTCATCTATGACGTCATTCGTATGGATTTAAAAGTTTTTGGCAAAAGTTATCCGATTCTGACAAAAAACCGCATCATTTTGCTTTTTTCGAGTGAAAAAGTCCGTATATTCATGCCCAGGCCCTAGGCGCCCCCCTCCCCCTTTCTCGCCCCCCCCCCGGAAATCCCCGTCAGGGCAATTTTAATCGTTTCTGGAAGGTAAACAGTTCTTGCATGAATTCACTTTCTATGTCATTTTATATGAGTCGACCTCTGAATTTGACTTTCGTATAATTTCGGCGAAGCTTCTCTATTCATGGTGACTTAAACTGACATTTAACAGCAAAATTAAGCCTTCTTAAGGCAAAACTGGGTTTTCCGACGTTCGGTTCAGGGCTCCTTAAATTCGCGACTTTCTTTCCTTTGGGTGGTGTTAAGTGATAGCCTAATAAGTACTCCTCACATCTTTACAGCGTTTATTTCAACTTCTTGCTCCTAGCCACGGCAATATCACCCAGATTGTGTTTTGCACCTCGTAATAATGCAGCCTTTCACACATTTAAGGAGCGCTTTGCTACTTAATGGGCCATTCACGGCGAAATAGTGAAGAGTTTGGTGTCGGACGCGTTTGATTCGGAAAGCGCGAACCCTGGTCTATCATTCAAGGTCGAAATCTGACGAATTCTTGCTTTTACTTTAAAGCGACGAACCTAAAACGCGACCCCATGCTGTTTTCCCAGGGGACCCAAAGACGTCACTGCGTGACGTCTTCGATACCAACTGTTAAGAACGTTTTCTGCAAGTATGCGGCACCGAAACTACGAAAAGAACACATATATCCATAGCCAAGATCCAGAGCAGACTTTTATTTTCGTTATAACTGTTTTGAGAAAAGCGATGTTTGAAATAACGGTATTTTTCATTGTGACGCTGCCTGGAACCCGAAACTTGGCAATATATATATATATATATATAGCCTTAGAACACTGTATTTTTCACATGACTTTAAACCTCTGCCGCGGGAAAAGTACTCATCGCAGACATGTAAAATTTGGATATATGATAGATATGATGTTTCTGAAGAATTATGATAATTTTTTATGAAAAATAATCTCCTTAAGGTTCCGGGTCGGAGTTTAATTCTGACCAGGGTTCCAAATAGTGCGCAGTAAATCGCCGGATCTGCGAGGTTGTCACGCTAGGTTTGGCTCCCCATAGATCGGCGATCGCTGTAGATTTTCAACTAGGTTTTGAATTGATCAAAAAGCCTTGGGATTGTAGTGTTTTTCGGCGCGGTGAAGTTGGACGGCCAGCGAAGCGTTTTTGGTATTGGTCCGCGAGCATGGGTGATGCGGTTTGTCGCCTGATGACCCAAATAGCTGCGTTCTATGTGGAATTTCTAGGGGTTCGCGTCACCGGATTTTGCGAAAAACTTATCGCAACAACCTATTTTTTTTCTGTTTTTCAGAAACAGAAAGTAGTAAGCTATTTCAGCATATAAGCCGTTAGCCTGGGAAAATTCGTTTTTCCAAGCAGGTCCGTTGAAAAAACTGCAAAAAAACTATATTTTTCGTATCCAAAATTTACGTTTAACTACAGTTTCTACCCAAATTATAGAGTCGACGGACAATAACCAAAATTGTATCGGAAGCCGGCTGGAAACCTCCGTTGACTGATGTAATGAGATTTCCCGGCGTACTTTTTTTGGCGGAGTTATAGCCCTTCGGTCTGAGGGTGTCCGCCGGATCCAAAATCGTGAAAAAAACTCCGGTCCGAGACCTTAAGAAATCATAGAATTTTCGCAAAAAATATGCAAATTAGGTCATCATTTGCATAATTCGTATCTGTTGATGTTCCATCTGCCAAAGGTTACATACAATACATGTATGAAAGTACTATAATGTAAAACACTGTAATTATAGACTTTCCTCATTAATTATGCAAATAAAGTCCTCATTGGCATAATTTGCATTTAATTATGTACATCTCTCTCTCAGCTACCTACCTACCAAAAATGATGAAAATACGTTGTTCCTAACTGGACTTATTGGCTTTAAAAGATTTCGCCCGAAGGTCCCCTGCAGTTCCAGAACAAGCTGCTAGGGGGACAAAGCCCACACCACTTATTCCTGACAGGAAAAGGTATCTGTCACCAAAAATGCAAGACCATAGCATGTTCAGGACAAAAGATACAAAAACCGGAAGTTCTGCTGCAGTACCAAGATCATCCACCAGGAGGCCCATATTTGATCTTGACCTTCAGCTTCCTAAGACCTACCAGCATATCATATATCATCACAATCCATAAAGGTGTTATGAAGTTATGCTGACTACAAATGTGCGGAAACACAAACACACAGACACAGACAGACACACACACAGACGCAACAAAAACAATACCTCCATTTTTATGGAGGTAAAAACCCAATATTTATAGTTGCTCTTTTACTTACCTTGTTAGTCGCGTTGAGATCAGCCTGGTTCTTAATGAGCAGCTCCACAATCTTATCACGACCCTCTCTACACGCTACATGCAGTCCTGTGTCTCCGATCTGTAACAAAACAGTTAAACAAAGGTCACAAAAAAGATACAGATGTCAAAAGTTGGATGTTGCATGTTAACACAATTTTCACATTCGCACTTTTACTTACCTCGTTAGTCACGTTGAGATCAGCCTGGTTCTTAATGAGCACCTCCACAATCTTATCATGACCCTCTCTACACGCTACATGCAGACCTGTAGCTGTGCCTCCGTCCTGTAATACAACAGTAAAGCAAAGGTCACAAAGAAGATTGAGATGTTCTGATTTTGCATGTTAACACATGGCTAACCCAATGTTCACATTCCCACTTTTACGTACCCAGATATTCACGTTAAGATGAGCCTGGTTAAAGAGCAGCTCCACAATTTTGACATGACCCCATCCACACGCTGCATCCAGAGCTGTGACTCTGTCCTGTAACACAACAGTTAAAGCAAAGGTCACAAAGAAGATGCAGTTATCGATAGTCGGCTGCTGCATTTACAGAATTTACAGTTAAAACGAAAGTGACAAAGAAGATACAGTTGTTTGTAGTTGGCTGCTGCATATGCTAATATCCACATTTGCTCTTTTACGCATACTTACCTTTTTAGTCATGTATAGATCAGTCCAGTTCTTAGCGAGCAGCTCCACAACTTTGACATTATGCTCTCTACACGCTACTTGCACAGCTGTGTCTCCGTCCTGTAACACAACAGTTAAACAATGATGACGTCGACCATTACATCTGTACAAATAAAATTGTTCACAATCGCACTTTTACTTACCCTGTTAGTCATGTTGAGATCAGCATGGTTCTTAATGAGCAGCTCCACAACCTTATCACGACCTCCTTTACACGCTAGATACAGAGCTGTGTCTCCGGCCTGTAACACAACAGTTAAAGCAAATGTCACATAGAAGATACGACTGTGTGACGTCGGTCGTTACATCTACAGGTAAAAACACAATGTTCACATTCTCTCAGTACTTACAGCATTGGTCATGTTTAGATCAGCCTGGTTCTTAATGAGCAGATCTACAATTTCGTTACGACGTTCTCTACATCCATATGCAGAACCGAGTCACTGACAAGTAGCGCGATAATTACGTAATTAGCCACAATGAAGATTTATTGATAGAGTATCAATTGACATTACTGTCCAGTAGTTGTTACCTTGCGTGACAGGCTGAATAAAAGTTCTAAACGGGAACTACGCGGCTCCAGGTGTCTTACTGAGGGACGACTGCGTGTGCGGTTAGCTTGAGGAATGAATACCCTCTATTATATCATCTGCTAGGTTATTACCGTATAGCTGCCACAAAATCTAGGCTTTATTTTCAGGATAGTAAATTCAAGGTCGTAGGCTTGATTCTATCACCTCAATGACACGTAATGTAAAATAATGAAATCATAATGAAACTAGAAAGGCCGACATTTGCTCGGGAGCAAATGCAGCAAATGGCTTCACCACGTCTATGGAAATAAGGTCGTAATTAGCATGATCTAGTTTCATTTATGGCTTCCTAATTCAAATGACAAAATTTTTCGTGTAAACTTCCCCTCCTTTGTCATGGTTCATTTCAACATGTCCTCCTTAATTATACAAATGACCTCTACATTAACATAATATATGCATAGTGGCGTTAACTTTTAAGTAACTTACACATGTCACAAGGTATAAAATTCCCATCATTCACCATACTTCACGTTTCGAACACTTTTGTTTAAATCTGTACGCCCTGTTAAAGTTAGACATTTTGCTTATGGCCCCCGATATGCCTCTGTCCTCTTAGCACGGTTTCGCATTGGCACCTTCGGCTTGAATTCCAGCCTTTTCAGTCGTGGATTAGTTGATAGTCCAGCGTGTAGCTGCGGGTGCCAATGCGAATCTGTTTCTCACCTCTTACTTCACTGCCCGGCTTACACTTATCAGCGTCTTCTTCTCTTCGGCCAACTTTCAGGGGTGGTGGGACACATTTTGGACGTAAATTCCCCATCTGGCAATTCTTTACAACATCTTTTACTTTACGGATCATCCTTTTGCAGTTTTGAGACTAATTGTAAAATTATAAGCTTTACTCAGAATTTCGTCATCAAAATTGGTGGTCGTTTTGTACCTGATTAATCTTTTTGACTTCAATTATTCTACTCGTGTCCTATCAGTAATTCTAAGGGACAGGGGTTGGGACTTGCTCTTGTTGAATTCCATTTACTAAACCCCAATTATTTTGTTTCGATTTTGTATATTTTTTCATTTGTCTATGTAAATACATTGTACCACATATCTGTTTAATCATTTTGTGTAGATGGCGCCGTTAATATAAGTTTCATGGAAGTTTTAATTAAAAAAAGCTTAAATGACATTCCTTGGTCATGTGTGCAACGTATCCCCATACCGAATTTCCGGTCATTCGGATCATTTAATTAATTAATTAACTAATATTAGGGGACCAGAGCAAAAAAGTGTAAATTTTTTGTCCAAAAATAGACAAAAAGCCCTGTTTTGCACAATTTTAAAGTGGTGTATGTCAAAAGCTTGAATGGGGTTTTGTAGCCATATGTCCAAGGTATCCCCATACCAAATTCCAGTTCATTTGGTTTAAGTACCAGGGCTCCTGATCCCAAAATGTATTTTTTGCCTGAAAATGGCCAAAAAACAAACAAACAAACAAATGAAACAATTTTGAAGGCCTGCTTCAAAAAATAAAACAACTGAGGGTATTTGGCTACTCTACCTTCATGCCGAATTTCATGTCATTTGGCCCCAAAATGAAGAAATTGAATCCATTTAACGAAATGGCAGAAGGAGAAGGAGGGCAAGGAGAAGGAGAAGAAACATTAGAGAAAGCAATATCTCGTGGTGTGGTGAAGCCATAATAATGACCAGTACGCCTATTGGCAGTGTCATTGAGGATCATTGACATTGAGGTGATAGAATCAAACCTACGTCCTTGAATTTATTATTCGCCATGACTGTGGCTACCCCCCCCCCTCCGCGCTCCTAGAATCAGACGACCTGACAGGTTGTTTTGATGTTGTGACCCTTGACACCCAAAACGGGAAACGATAGGGTAGGAGTTAATAAGTAACCGGCAGTCGGCTCGGTCTAGGGACGCTGTCAATATAATTGCCTTCGTCAGAAGGTTATAAAATCAGTCTGCTTTAGTGTGGGAGACTGTGGATTTAGCGGCATAACTCTTGAAAGCATGGTTCGACGTTCATAATTTTTGACAGTCTGGTATTGGGTACCGGTACAGAATCGGCTGAACAGGCGTAAATGTTAATGCCATTTGGCGAAGTATTGGGATCGTGGAACTCTAGTTAGAACGTGGCTACTTCCCCTCAGCCAATGATAGCCCTTTATTTTCTGTGTCTATATATCGAGATACACTCTGTAGAAATGGTTTCCAAAATATATGGTTGAATCCCTCTACAGACGCCAAATATTTCGGATTCATATTCAAAGAGAGCCTTAAGGACGATTTTCTATCTGGCTGGAGGCAAAAGATAAATAGCTTTAAAAAAACTTGAAACATACTCAAAAATAAAAAAAGAACTTTCACATCGAGAACTATCTTCTATCTGTTCAAAACAAATCCTTTATAGTTAATACCACAAAATTAAGAATCGGAGCACACTGCCTAGAGATTGAAAAAGGAAGACACAACAATATACCAGCCAGTCAGAGATTATGTCCTACGTGCAAAGATGGAGTTGAAGACGAATATCTTTTTCTGATGACATGCCCCACATACAACGAAGAGAGACGTAAGACTACTAAAACATTACCCAACACATCTAGAGAGACGTTCCATGTATTTATGTCTACATGGTTTATGACATGTGTTTATTACTATTAGCTAAGTATTATCCGTCTTGACAAGAGCAAACGAGAGCAAGGACTTTACATAGGAATGTCATTGACAAGAAATACTGTATAGTACATGCACTTTAGCTTTATTCTTATATGATCTCCATATACTAGCATCTTGGCTACGCAACTTGCTTCATGTAGCTGTAAGGAGCCTTCAATACATTAGAGGAGATAAGAAAAAAATCAGCCTTAGTTTTTTCCACTTGGAATATCCAAGGTAGTTGTAGGAAAAAGTTCAATGATGTAGAATGTCGCTCTTATTTTGATAAAAGTGACGTGATTTGTGTTCGGGAAACTTGGTTAGATAGTTTTATAGATTTTAACTTAGCAGGCTATATTGTCTTTAGTTGTAATAGAATTAGGAACAAAAGGGCGAAGCATAACTCGGGTGGGGTCGCTGTTATTTTCAGAAGTTCATTTAAAAAGGGCATTACTAAACTTGTCAGCTGTTCACCCGATACAATCTGGTGCAAATTTGACAAACATTTCTTCGGCCTTACAAATGATCTGTATCTTTGTAATGTTTATATTCCTCCTGATCCATTCCCCAAAACCCCTCAAATTGACCCCTTTGAAGTATTATCCAGCGACATTTGTAAACTTTTTAAAAATTTAGGAGACATAGTTATTTTAGGTGATCTAAATGCCAGAACAGGGGCTATCACAGAAACCTACTTTAATACCGATTTCCCCGATGTGCTTACAGCTGACGTGCTCGATAATTTTAAAAACAGAAACAACAGGGATATGAAAGTAAACAATTATGGTAGATGTCTGCTTGAATTATGTTCCTCAGCTGATTTGACCATTTTAAATGGGAGAATTGCTGGAGATTTAAAAGGAGACTTTACTTGTCACCACTATAATGGGTCAAGTGTTGTAGACTATTGCATCACCCAACGGTCAATGCTTCCCGATGTTCAATATGTTAATGTTAGTCCATTATCACATTTCTCTGACCATTGTCATATCTCATTTTCTTTGGCAACCAAGCACGCTATGACCAAACCTCAAAATCTCGTAAACTTATTGTGTCTAAAAACATCCCTTGTGTCTTCCCCTAAAAACATTTTCTCCTTTTTATTGACGAAACTCTAAATTGATGATGGTAACATTCCAGTTTTGATTCTAAAGAGCACCTGTACTGATCTAACTCATACTTCTATAATTATTTTTGAAAGAAGATCAGACAAAGACATGGTTCTGAGACAGGCGTCTGGGTTTAATCTAGAAAAGGATAATTTTTCAATCAATAACATACGCCTCTCTTTAGCCATACCAGAATTTGATATTATTGACATACGTTTACAAAAATTTCTCCTTGGACCTACTTGTAATGGTCCCCACAACGCAAAAATAGGTAGATATATAAAGGAATGCTTTGTTATTAGAAAAAATTCCGAAACTTATGATTAGCCCACTCGATTGTAACACTTCATCAAAGACTTCTGCTATCCCTTATTATTACCTCCGGGTAGGGATGTACATCCCGAGCGCGGAGGTTTTGTGAGGGAAGACGAAAATTGCGTTCGCACCCGTTTCTCGCGTTTGGGTGGACGGATATGTCTGGGAGTTGGTATACGTTTTGCTGTTGGGCTGTAGATGGTGCACGTTGTTTTGGTTTTTTAGTATGTGTGTTTTAGTGCGTCAAAATGATGCGTTTAGACCGCCGATGGACACCCCTTTCAGTGTGAAAGTGGACCTCAGCTTTTGACCTTTGCATGTATAAGGACGATTGAGGTCGCGACCACTGATCTGACCTTTCACACAGAGGGGTGTCAGCATTGTCGATAAATTCTTTCTTTGAAACTGTTCAGATGTGAACCACATGTGCCGTCAATCAACGTCTCATTATCGTGCCCGTGCCGGAAACGCCGGCAGGCCGGCCGTGTCTGAAACAGGGCTGCTATTCACACTGATATCTAAACAAACACATGGCGGCACGACCTGAATATATCACCGCCACTTGTGCTAACCGTGGCAAATATGTCGCTGTTCTTAGCTGCCTG